ACACAAGTTGACAATTTCTGTAAAAACTAAAATTCAACTACCTAATTATTTGGCTGATTTTCGTGATTTATTGACCTTCAAAATGTCAACCTTACCAGTAATTGTTCACTTATTTTAACTCCAACAATTTGTTTAGGTGTGACTCTCTATGTTGACACAGGAAAGTGTGTGTAATTTTGTTTGACATTTAATTTGATGTGCAACTGTATATAACCAAACTTTTATATTTGTTGAAATTTTACTCTAAAAAAAACTCTACTGGCTGTGAATTTATTGTTATTTTGTATTCTAAAAACCTGAAATTTTTTCAAAAACATTCATTTAAAAGTAGTCAAAATTTTAGAGTTTTCACGGTACTATTCAGAACCCAATCGATCTTAGTAAATTAGCATCTTATAAAAAAATGTTTCCTAAAAATGGTTAATATCTGGCAAATATGATGATTTGCATAAAACAACATTTGACAATAACAAGCAGCCTCTCGGCTGAGATAGCTCCGCTGCTGGCAATGCACATTTCAATTAAAGAACAGAAGATATCATTAGAAAATGAACAATATGTATAGTATCAAAGCAATGGGACTTGCTGTTTTCAACAAGAATTCAAAAATATCATTTTTCACCATAAATGATTGTGGTTTTTAACAAGAAGAAAATATCACTTTTTACCAAAAATGATAAAAATATTCATCAAAATTAGAGAATTTAAAATATCATGAAATAAACAAATTTGAGAGTGGTCCACATGTAGTACCTATATATGTAATACTGTGGAATACTTTATTTTCGCTGGAATTAATTTTCGCTGAAAAGGCTTTTTGGGCGTTTTGTATGGAACTTATTTTCACTGATTTTTGATGAATTTAATGTTAAGTATATTCGCTGGATTTTATTTTCACGGAATCATCCATTCAGCGAAAATAAATTCCAAGCGAAAATAAAGTATTCTACAGTATCAAAGCAATTGGACTTGCGTTTTTTAACAAGAAGTCGAAAATATCACTTTTTACCAAAAATGACAAAAATATTCACCAAAATTAGAGAATTGAGGATATCATTACAAAATGAACAAATCTGAGAGAGGTCCACATGTAGTACCTATATATGTAATATCAAAGCAATTGGACTTGCGATCATGAAATGAACAAACCTAAGAGAGGTCTACCCAAGGTACATATACACCAAGTATCAAAGCATTCAGGCTTGTAGTTTTCAAGAAGAAGTCGAAAAAGTAAAACATTGACACGGACAATCACTCATATGAC